GTGATTATTACCAACATGTAAAAACTACTTATGGTGCAATAAAATATGTTTGTTTCTGTAAAAAGATTCAGCATTTTCATTATGCTTCATTCACCTATATGCAACATATAGTTATTACTAGGAATTAATTAATTTACAAGAGATGCAAGACGGTGAGGAAAATGTCACAAACTACTGTATCTTGACACTAGTAAGCCAAGTTTTATTACTGTACAACAAATGAATTGCTATACACAGCAAAGATATCCGTAGAGCACCAAATGAGTACAATTGCCTTTGCTGAGCCCTTATAAAAACTTTAGGGCTATGATATTTTATCAGACGAACCTCCAGATCAAGGAATGTATAACTAAGTAACTCCACTTCCATTTAGCCTATTGAGCACAAAAATGAATTTGACTTTTTCCCTGGAGTATTCTGACAGTTGTTAATGGTAAGAAACTCTTTGTCATCATAAGTAAAAGAGAGGACTCTTGGTTTTCCTTCTGATAATTATAACAAAAGCGAGGAGACTATACAAATAATCTTGTATCTAGCTATCTATGATATTCAGCGAACTCTCATCGGCTAAATGTGGTGGCATCATTAGCTCCATCCCCTTTCTTGACCCCAACAATTTGTGTCATATTTTATGGTATATGTTTTTCAGTGCATTAAAAAAATGGCAAAACAATTATCAAAAAAGAAACCTAGAAAAATGGAAATAAAACATATCTAATATTTGAAATAAAAAAAGGTGATGGGGGTGGGGCTTAGCTTGAAAGTTACCAGCTCCAAAGTTAACAAGATGGAGTGGTTAAACCTATGCAGTTGCTTTATTATGGCTGCTTTCAGTACAAGTTAATGTCAAATAGGAGCTCAGAGTTAAAGTGGGCTGCGAGTTCAATTTCAATATCAAATTATGAACAACAGGATCATTCCTTTGTAGTGTGTAGACTGTAATTACAAAATCATTTACCATATTTACAATTACTGATTTTCATTGAAAACAGTCCATTATCATCTATTACTTACAATAATCAGTAACAAGAAGTATCAACACTGGTAATAATAATAATAACATTATCAATGACGATAATAACAGTAATTTCAATAGCAATAATACTGTAAATAACACTATCAAACTTTGAAAGTCTAAAGGCTTCAAGTCATTAAACCTGCCCTTGCCCCCAGCAACAAATCAACCTCCATTTCCAACTTTTACCATGGACAGATATGATCTCCATTATTCATGTAGCCTCATGTTACACACCAAAAATTGTATGTCTTGTGCTGGTATGTCAAAAATTTACTAAAGATGAGAAAGATAATGGGAGAAACTTATAGACACACAAATAACACATATAACACAGAAAAGATACATATTCATCAACTACTACATATGTAACATACTCCTCATCCTTACTTACATGTTTAAATAAATCCTGTACTTGTCATATTTATGAACTAACAAGATAGAGTTATAAAGAACAAAATAATGTGACAAGGAGCTCAGCCACATCTAGAGGCAACTGTATGGAGGGAGGGTGGGTCCTGGAGTAATAGGGCAGCTGTGGGATAGTAGGTCATTTATGGTCTGGAGGGGGTGTAGAGGGGGATAATTGGATGGGAGGAAAAGCCATCCACGGGCATTGAAGGCCAGGTAATTACAGTGTTAGGATGGGATAGCTCTCTATGTTCTTGAGGCTGAAGAAAGAAGCCAGAATGTCAACTATACACAGATTTATTTCACATGCACACTCAAATAAAGGCAGGAAAATGGCCCCCAAATTTTGAAATGAATTCCACACTTTAAACAACAATAACAACATTAATAATGTAAAGATTAAATAATGAAACAGACTGAAAAAGCCACTTATAAATGTCTATTGAAATCTTAATCATATATATCTTGAGAGGTGAAAATATTAATTTTCATTGCCAATACTGCTAGCACTGAAAAACAAAACTCTAATCACAACACCTACACTGAATGAGAGAAGAGAAAGCTCACCTTGAGAGTATAGCACCTGCGCCGGAGTTCCTCGAGTGCTTGTGCCGATGCACTCTCCTTGGCGGCTTTCTTGGTGGGTTCCTTGGCCTTACCAACCTGTTGTCCCTGTATCAACACCGCACACTCCCTGTGCAAGAGGTGGGAATGTATTAAATTTAAAAAGGTTTGAGAATGAGTGTAAGCATTAAGATGTATAAAAACAGATGCAGATTAATATCCATGATAATAAACAATAACCATTTGAGTATACTACGGTGTGCCTACAATTTAAATATTATCAATTAGATTTATTTTCTTTATATCAACAATATTATCACAATAACTGTAATTTATATCATAACCATCATAATAATCATCATTATTATCATTATTACTCTTTTTATCATTATTAACATTAGCTGATCAAGATCATCATTATCACCATTATAATTATTATCACTACATTTATCATCATCATACTGACTGTCGATGTATAGTCTGATCGATGTACATACATATAGTAATACT